TATTTTTTATTATGGTCCTGTAAAGACGCACCAAAAACCCAAAAAAAAAGGAAGAAAAAAAAAAAAGGTTAGTGAAACAATAGATTTGTGACAGAATTCACCCAGAGCTTCACTATTGTCAGATAACACTTGGGCACTAACAATGGTTCAAATTTTCAGGGGTTTCCAGCCTGAGTCACATACTCTTTCCCTGTCGCTGTTGCAGGTGACAAACAGGAACAACATATCACCTTCATTGTTTAATATGTGTGATCTTGGCATTGATTCATGATTACGGATGACTAACATTATGGACAATTATTTGGGGGAATGGAGATGCCCATATTAACGAGAAAATACTGTAATAGCAAACAGAAATGTCAGTTTCCACAGCATGAAAACAATTATTATAATTTCTGAGTGTGCAAACAGGAGTATCGGTGAGGTATGTCTAAGACAATATTTAAATGGCTACTGGTTGTGGAATTTAAGTACCAACCCGAATGTATATTATGATTAAAAATCAATTGTTCAACCTGTGTAATAAGACAATAAAGCAAATTTTAGTGGGTCAGATATTGTCCGGCAAAACTTGACATCTGAGAGTGAAACTCTCCAAGTACTTTGAACTCTAGCTGCCAAAGGTCCTGGTATTACTGGTTCGAGGCAACAGATCTTCCCTCCAAAAGACTGTGGAAAAGTTGTTGGCCACCTGGAGGCTAACAACTTATCTGAACAAAGTGAATGCTCAGAGACTTCTGTTAGTCTATGATCTTGCTGCATAAAAATCGTGCAAGGAGAAACCTGCTGACACAGTGGACAACAATGTCTCTCTCGAGGGTCTCGAGAGGCACAGCCGGAAGATTTCATGCCAGTTGAAAGCTTGTGTCATTCTGACTGGTCCATAGAAATAAAAAGTTAACACAATGCCTTGTAATTCGGGCAGACTTATTCCTTGCTTCCAATCCGGAAACTGTTCGTTGGCAGGACAACTGTAACAGATAAAAGAAAGTATTCTAATATATCTGCCGCTAGTGGAACAAGCGGGTGTAACCGAACAGTGTAGTAGCGTGCGTGTTATTTTATGCTTTTCTCTGTAGTGTGGGGTCACCCATCTTAATTTTCTCGATGCTAAGTTCGGCAGATTTCAAAAGGCTAAAATTATAAATTTCAGTGTAAATAATCTTCTATTCAAACATAGTAAACTCAGCAACTCCAACAAACGACCCACACCATGACACGGACGGCATTGGCTGCAGTGACACTCTTTTACTGATGAGGGCTATACTTTTTTTCAGCTTAAGTCCAAAAGCAGCCGAAGCTACAAGCGCAAGCTCCGGGCTTTCGGCGTCCCTGCCAAGCATGCATGCTCGTTCAGTCCAAGCACCGTTCAGGACCACATGCTCGCGCTTGTATCATTGGCTGCATCTGGACTGAAGCTGAAACAATGTATAGCTACTCTCACGAGACTTTCCGATCACCCTCCGCCCTCACCTAACGCATATCGGGACTGGGCAGTTCATGGATTAAAGGGGCACTGACACCCCAAAGGTCGTATTTATTTTTATTGTCTAAAACGATGCAAGTTGCAGTCATAGACACGCAAAAAAAACCGCATTGCGAAAAAAAATTTTCCTACGCGCACGCGCGCCTTTTTATTTTTGGCGTTTGATTTTCCCGCCTCTCGCCTCCTCGCTTCTTTTGATCGGTGACGTCAAAAATCAGGAAATTTAGAAGCTTTGTAGGCGACATCTCTATAACATTTAATTACGGCAATCTTAAAACATGTTTTTTAACGCAATTGCGAACGCACTACGGCCCTTCTTTTTGAAGTACCAAAAATCGGGAGTTCGTTGTGGTGCCGTCTCCTGGATTTGTATCCTCCAACGGAAAACAGGCGACACCGCTCAAAACCGGTCCGCCGCAACGCCGCCGCTCACTCCTTTCCTCCTCGCTTTGGGTCGCCATGGCAACAGCAGGGAGTGGTGAAAGAAAGTTGACTCTCAGGTCTCCGCAATTTTTGACGTCAAGGCACCGGCGCCGATCGCGCGGGAACTTCGAATTCGGCATTTGGAAATTGTTTTTTTACTTCACAAATACTGAATTCCCAAATTTCAAATTTTGAGGGTAATGTCCCGGCATCGTTTTCAATCGTTTCGGATAATAAAAAAAAAATGATTTTGATGTGTCAGTGCCCCTTTAACCTTCAGATTATATGAAGGATGCCCTGGTTGCGATATTGTTTTTTGCCGTTTAATCGGAATCTTGTGCTGGAGAAAGTCGGGGAAAAAAATAGAAAATGCCTGCATTAATATTTCTGACGTCTTTATTTCTTTTAGGTTACAAGCTTGCACAGTAAACCACTTCAGCATGCTTGTGATTGTCATTAAGAGTGATTTTACTGTTTAGATAATAACTTAAAAATTACTTTACTTTAAAAGGCTTTCTGTAGGTGCCACAACATGAAGTTTAAAATGGGAATGCAATATGCCATTTATGACATAGTAAAAATAGTAAAAAAAAAAGTATAGTTTTAATGTCTTTCATACATTATGACCAGTGAAAATCAACTAATGGATTTATCAAATCATTATAGTCTAATAAAGGGTAGCAATCAGTCGGATGAATCTTTTCATCAAACCACAGCTCCAATATCAACATTCAATGTTTTATAAAAGCTATGGTTTGTGCAAGATTACAAAAGTATGTGGTACCAACGGTTGTTTGCAAAACACAACACTAAGATTATGGAAGCATCCAACTTAATAATAATTGCTTTGCTGAATTTCCACGCATGTGAAAAGATACAAGACAACCTTTATTAGGAAGAAACGACAACATAAACAACACGCGTTTAATGAGGAGGGCTCAGCTCAGCCGCAAACGGGCTTGGGTTGTCGAGATCCATGTTTTTGAATGGGCGCCCGTAGCAGACGACGTGCAGCGGTATCCCCATGTGGCCAATTTCGGCCGCATGGTGGCGGCACAGTTCGATCTCAAGGCAAATAGTGGGTTTGGAGTTACTCCACTGTTCACATTTCATTTGAACCCGATCGTACGTGCGTGTTCACGCTCATGTCGTTAAATGGACGAAAAGTTGTCGTCAATCGCAGGTACTCCACTGTCGGTATTGGGTACATGGCAAGACTGCAGCTAGTAGCTTCGGCGATGGCACTCAGTACGCAGGCTTTCATGTGGTAGAACTGTACGTTGAAGCTACGAGCTTGCACCGACACCGTTGGCTCTATTGTCAAGGCTGGTATTTATCAGTATTAATACCGATAAATGCCAGCCAATTTTAATCTAACAAATTTGGCATAAACGAATAAATATAGAATTTTGGATCTGGCTGTCTGAATATGGCACATAGGACCAAGTTGAACAATTCTCGGGGGATTCGGTTCAGAGATGTACATACTGCCTTTTGGTTTGCAGTTGGTGTATTCTGAGTCTGAGCGGTGCATCCAAGCTCCGCGGCGTCTTGAGCATGTTGTGCTACTTTTCATAGTAGCAAATGAGGAGGAAACACAATTTGGAATAGAGTACCCACAGTGTGAGCGAGTGCCATGCCATCCAGAAGAGCGTGCCTGTATACGTCATTCTGTTCTAGAAAAGTCATCGCCCTCACTGGTCCTCTCTTCCTGACGAGGTGTTCATGCTGCTGTCGCTTCGTGCGTTCAGTGTTAACCTGCAAGGCAGTTTCTGTCAGTCGCAAGTAATAAACGGAAAAGAGTGCTGCAGTTTTTTTAATGAGAACCTTCTTATTACATGTGCATGTACTTCCACAACCTGAAGCTGCAATTAATGTGTATGTCCCATGTTTATATTTGTGTTTACTACAAAGATATCTTAAAAGGACTCTGACACCCCCCCAAAAAAAATTTGTTTGTTTTGCCAGGTGATCTTTTATGGTGTCGGAAGACTACTCAATCAATATTTTGCTACAGCGTCGCATATATTTGTAATAAAGTAAAAAAAATGCAACTGCTAAAAACTGAAACGGGACTGGGGAGGAAGAAAAAATATAGAGGAGGAGAAAGTTACTGGAAGTTATGTGGCTTACTATTTTTTTTTTTTTTTCAATCAACATATTTGCAGCTTTTTAAAAACCACAAAAAATGGGTATCATATTTTTTGTCTATTTTTAATTTTGAGTGTGTGCCTTCGATGACCCATGACTTTGATTATCTTTGGTGGTTGTGTCTAAACCATAGAGAACGGCCCATGACGACGTAGAAGAGATTGAGCGCGGCTCAATGGGCCAGTTCTCAATCGGCGGTTTTCGGGCGGAAAGAAAACAAATTTTGAGCTGCAGATTGTATTCTGGGTAGTTTGGCTCTATATGTCATGTACAAATAAAAACCTTGGTGAGCATAAATATCCTGTTGGTGTCCCTTTAATTGTAAGATTAAATTTTATCTGTGTTTTTCTCATGGGAGCAATAATTCTTCAAGACGATAAGTGCCGTAAATGGCTGAAAACCCGATGGGGTATGAAATGAAATCCAAGTTAAAATTGAATCTGTGACTGATAATAGATGCTACTAAATGCGCGCTGATTTAGAACAAAGACACTGCGAAATCCTATTCCGAGTCGCTCTGTTGTAATCTCATAAAATGAGGTCTTTATGAGATTTGCTTGGAGCACCAGCTAGCCATTTATGACAATTGCACTCTAATCTAGAGGCTATTACTCGCGCTTGTTAAATTTCTCGACGCGGGGCAGGGCCACTAGTTCATCTCGGTTGTCGTACGACTGTTTCAGCTTACAGCGTTCATGACTGCACTTGGTGGTGCTATTTGCTTACCAGCTCGAGCAAAATCAAGATGGGGAGGGTTGACTAACGTAAAGGTTTGGGCTAGTTTGTATTTCATGATTAAGAATTACACTGAGTGGCATGAACCTAGCAAAGATAAGGGCTCGGGCTAGTCACCCGTATTTGAGCCAACCCTGGGTGTTTGCAGTGTGTCGAAAGTATGTTTCTTTTGCATGTTGTAAGTTTTTATGCCTATCATTTATAGATAATTGACGAGTTGATAAAGGCACCGGCAGAAGCAACGGCAGCACTCCTCGCTGAAGAGGTCAGCACGTTGTCAACCTCTTCTGCTGACGACGCGGAACGAAGTCCTGACTCTGGACCAATGCACGATACAAGTGCTGCCATCGAAGTACCTTGTTCAAGCTGGGGTATGTGCGCCGATTGAAACCATTGACTGCCATGTTTTAGTACCTAATTTTGCCAATTTAGGGTAATCTAGTCTTCAACAAATAATTTGATGGCCTAGTTGGTTAAACATGGCACACAAAATTAGCGCAGTGGCCGAACACAGGAAGAAGGAGTAAACGGGACAGAGTGCTACTTACAACTTATGTTTTATGAGATGATAGAGGAAGACAACAATAAAATTGAGGCTAAAATCAGACAAGAATATGCTAGAGAGAGGAATAAAAAATACAATATCAGAAAATTTAAGAAAAAAAATGTTAGAATAAAGGAAAAGAAACGTTAATTACACTAAGAAAAGAAAAACAAAAGAATGTTACTAAAAAAAAAAAAAGGTTTTTGGAGAAAAATTTGTGGAAAAATTGAGACGTTTACAAATCCAATGCGAAATTAGAGCGCAGCTCTTGAGGTATTTTGATACTGCTGTATACTGTGATGGGAGGGTATGCAGGAGGAGGAGGAGAGGGTATGAAGGAGGAAGAGAAGGGTGTGGAGGTTCCTCCTCCCCTCCCCTCTTCCATAACCTCCCCTCCTCCCACAATTTTCCAGCTAAATTTAGCGGGGAAACTGGGAGGAAGGGAGGTTATGAAAGAGGGGGGAGGCTGTGCCTTCTCCCCTCCTCCTCCTTCATAACATCCCCCTCCTCCCAGAGTTTCCCCGCTAAATTTAGCTGGAAAATTGATGCCACACGACCTCAACACCAATTCAGTTCCCCTCTAAATTTAGCGGGGAAAATGACATCACATGACTTTGTGTCGCGTTATTTATGAACAAATTCAATTTGTCCTCTAGATTTAGTGGGAAAATTAACGTTGTGTGACCTCAACACCAATTCATTTGCCCGCTTAAGTTAGAGGGGAATTGAATTGGTGTTCCACGTGCGGCACATGGAACACCAATCCCTGCATTTTCTTGGATGTTTGGGTAAGTTAGCTATGGGTCTATTGGTGTATAGGTCTGTGACGTGTCAAAATGCAACGCGCGCGGTTACGCTGACGGCGACGTTGCGAAACCCGGGAACGAGCGCCTAAGAGCTGTGCTCTAAAATAGTGCAGGTATTGTAGTTCCTTTGTTGACAAGTTTACTGACAGAGCACTCGCATACACATCCCCTCTGGTTACTATGGCTTGGGATTCTTCTGTTTCCCATGTTCTTTTGTCCGCACTCTGCCGCAGGATCATTGTGCGAGCAAATGACGGGTGGCACCCATAGCCCCTTACGTGTACTGCTAGATGTCCTGACGGTGCAGATTTAAGAGAGAGTGCATGTTCTCTTAGTCAAATGTTATGCACCACCCTGAGTGGCCCACATATGGCTTCACTGAAGACATATTGGTGGACATGTCTCGCCGCAACCATCAAGCCAGTCTTGAGGGGAATTTATCTGGGGGCAGAGCCCTTTTAGCTTGTCCGGAGAAACGAGCGCCACCTGGACTTGGTATTTCGCAGCGACTCTCTTGAAGTTGTGCGATATACGATGCATCAACATTAGGCTAAGAGAACATGCTCTCTCCCTTAAATCTGCACCGTCGGGACATCTGGCAGTACACATGAGGGACTGTGGGTGCCACCCGTTGATTGTTCGCACAATGATCCTGCGACAAAGTGTGGACAAAAGAACATGGGAAACAGAAGAAGCCCAAGTCATAGCAACCAGAGGGGATGTGTGTGAGTGCTTCGTCGGTCAACTTGTCAACGAAGGAACTACAGTATACCTGTACCTTTGAGAACATGATAGCGCTTCAAGAGAGAGACGAGAGTAGGAATACGACAACACAGTGCGCTGCCTTAAACTGTTTAAACGTCAGAAAAGCAAGGGTATAAATACTCTGCATCATTGCGCCATTCAACCAATCCCGTGCCACACCAATGCTCGCAAGAACTGTGTCTCTTTGTCGCTTAAATCGATCGACGCCACGCTGACACATTGATTCCCGTAGTTTGTTTATCAGGTCTGCCTCTATGATTTCGGTACCTGCACTATTTTTCATAAATTTTTTTCCCCAAAATCTTACTTTTAGAATTTTTTTGTAATGTTCTTTTGTTTTTTCCTTGTGTATTTATTCAATGTGTTTTTTTTTTTCTTTATCCCTTTTCTTGAATTTTCTGCATTGTCTTATTCCTTTCCTTCTCTAGCATTCTATAATTTTAGTCTCAATTTTATTTTTGTCTTCCTCTATCCTCTCATAAAACGTCAGTTGTAAGTAGCGCTCTGACCTGTCTACTCCTTCTTTCTGTGTTTGTCCATTGTGCTAATTTTGTGTAATAGTCTAGTCTTGCGCTGACCACATGAGCCAAGAATGATTTTGTTTTGAAACACACTTTATTTTTCCTGCTGTGAACAGCTTCCTTCATCAGTAACACCAAACGGGCTCAGCTCGACCTTCGGAACGCTGCTACGCAGACCTCGGGCATCTACAAAGATAAATGTATGTATTTGCAAAATGAAATTTTACGGAAGTCGGCATTGTTCAGATCGTTGTAACAGGTTACAATGGCACAGGCACACAAGTCACCTTGAAGACCCTATCACGGCAGTGCCAAACAAATCCTGTCCTTGTGACACCACGATGCTCCTCGCCAAATCATGTCCCCCTGGCTCCATTGGATTGGACGTTGCCTGTAGAGCTGACACCGCCACCACAGTCACTAGTGCCCAGACAACCGGCTCCACCGCCAGACCCACCGCAGCTGCCAACAATAGACCACGAACTGCCAAGTGCAGGCCAGGAGGAATCTGTTCAAGAGAGCCCCACGGAGCTGCCAGAGCCATACGTGGAAGCAGGCAGCTGATGCTAGCTTTACTGATGATGATGTCAGACACCGGCTTCCTGAGGTTGGTATCAGTCGGGTCTATGTCATCTTCAGTAGAGAGGATGAGAGCATGTGTGAGTAAGAGGTTGCTTGTTTTTCCTTTATCTTCCAGGGATGCACAGCAGAACACCGCACGCTAAGTGCGCTCAGTGAGCATGAGAACAGCAAAAGCATTGACTGCGTTTCCAAACGAAAGTTCATTGTTTTTCAGTCCTGCTTGGACGAGCTGCGAAGTAATTGTCTGGTGTGCACTGCACTGTGCCGCATCACAGAGAGGATAGAAGGGACGTGTCTCCGTGTGCAGAATGTGCTACAATGTCCTCGAACACACCTTTACTATAGGGTGCCTACATGTCTGTCTGTCTCAGGGTGAAGACATCCATTGTTGCTCTGAAAGTGCCAGCGCGTGACGTTCTCGCGTACTCGGTGCGTGACTTGGACGGTAAAATGGCGTCTATGCATTAGCCAAAGCTACGCGCTCGAGCTGAGTGACACCGGATTGCGCGCACTTCAATATGCATAAAAAAACGATTGGGCGGAAAAATGGCTGAGATGTCACCACTCAGGCAAAAGCGCGTGTGTGTATGGAGGCACTCTACTTTACTAGCCAACCACCTGCCCCCTAGGGGAAGCTCTTGTCTTTCATATCTCTCCTCTTTTTAGGGGCGAAGCTCCTTAGGGTCTAGCCTTGTCTGTCCGGCGTCCGTGCTCACATCGATCTTGTTGCTGCTCATGCTCGTGCTCGTGAGCTCACGTGGTCACGTGCTCGTGTCGGGCAAAATCTAAAATAAAAAAAAAAAGATATTGTGCAGTCGACAGGATTCGAACCTGTGCGGCGAGACCCCAATGGATTTCTAGTCCATCACCTTAACCACTTGGCCACGACTGCGGGACGAATGGGGGGGGCTCTGAGATATGGTAGTAACTCAAGAGCTGGGGATGTCATGGATGAAACGTTGCATGTAGCCGCTCAACGTTTATACAGGAGAGGGCACTGCGGTCAAATGCGTATATAATCGCATTAAACTTTGCATGCATTGGCTCAACGTTTATAGATGAGAGGGCGCTGCGGTAAAATGCTCAAATGTGTATATAACCAGATTCCATACCACACATTCTCTTTCTGACATGGATGAAAATGAACGAAAGGCTCTTCATGCTGCGGCTCAGCGTCTACGTAGACGAGCACCACCAGAGCTTCGCCCCAATCAACATCATTCACCACGTGGAGATGCGGTCAGTTTTTAAATCAATGGTTTTACGGGCGACACTTTGCAGAGATTTCGACCTCGTCTCCTGTTGTCGCCACTACAGAAAAACCCTTCTCTTTGCTCTTGGCACGATGCCAGGGAAGTCGGGTTTTCCCGTTGGCCGCTCCGACATCCCGCCAGAAACAACGCAACCAAAGGAGAGTCTTCCGTGACGTCTGCTTGAAATACTTGTTTCCAAATATTCCTCGCGTTATGCGAAATCCAACTTTGGCAGTATCCAGTTGCTACACATAATGTTGGATAGCTTTAGAAAGTTCCACCGCGCTTACACACTTTACGAATCACCGAGATCAGGTGGCGGTCGTCCATGACATGAACGACGCCTACCAGGACAATTATGAGAGTTGTTTACGTCGCTTCTCCATTCTCAGGTACGTGACGGTACATTTTGTCCTGGTTTTTTGTGCGCTTTATATTTCGCCATGACCCACCACCAACTCGACCAGCTTGGCTGGTCGAGCTGGGCAATGTGCTCGTAGATGCAGCAATGCTCGTCTCCGGGAGCATCACCAAAAAAGTGCCGGCTCCTGGGCCAGACGAGCAAGCCCCGTTTCTCGTACAAGACACTTTAAGATTCAGGGTGCCTTCCTTCTACCAGCTATGAGACAGGTATGGTATGCTTCGAGGTTTTCCTTGCGGGCATTTCTAAAAAGGGGTGTATTGTAGGTGCAAGAAAATGCATAGGCAATATTTCAGGTTCAACACTGCTATGGGAGCCTGAATGGCATAGTACACGCGTTGGAAGTGCTATATTTTTCTGCTGTAAGTCGCTTTCCTGTAAATGGTTGTTTTTACAAAAAAGTTTGTATACTATAGGTCGCACATCTTTAAACGGATAGCGTGGCAAAACTGCATTGATAAGCTGTCAAATGTGTGTTGTAATATATGTGCAAGTGGGAGCCAGTTTCAATTTTCTCGCAAACGAATTGAGGGAAAAATAAACCCCCGTGGGAAATTTGTTCTGCTGGAAGCCGCTGTGGTTCCTGGGTGTGGATTTTGAGGGAAAGCCGATCCCTAGTACCCAAAGGCAACATCCAATGGATCTAGATCTGTTACGATGCAGTAGAGACTACAGGCTCTGTCGTTTTTTATTTGTTGTAACTGTTGATACGGTTTTGCACAGCTACAGTTTATACTTGTAGAAAAGAGCGATGCAAGTTGCACTTTGTATAAGATTCACCGACAGAAATTTGAAGAAGAACACGAAACTAGTACGCTAGAAAATATGGTAGGTAGTAGAGTCGATATGTTTCCTCTACGCCTATTTTTAGCTCACTCCTGGGGCGGGAAGGTACCAACTCTGCGGACAAAGAGAGTACATAGAGGTTTCATGGGGCGCACTTCTAGTTCCCAAGACTCGCCACATTCCATGTTGGTGAATGGTAGCCCTATGTTTTTCTGTGCACGGAGGCAGTGTTTTCAGTTAGTTTTTAATCTGCTTTGTGATTGACTTCACTTGGGTGTGGGAACAAATGGTCCTGGAACTATTGGTCCCAGAATTAATGGTCCCAGAATTAATGGTCCCAGAACAGTTGGTCCCGGAACAAATGGTCCCGGAACTAATGGTCCTAAGTCCAAGGTAGGACAAAATGGTCCCGAAAGAAGGTTGTTTTGAAACTAAGATATACCGTGCAATATACTTTATCCATTAGGCAATCACTGATTTCCTGGTTGAATGAAGGATCTCGTCTATATTTTGAAGCCAGTTACTTCGAAAAATGTAGTCGGTTATTGAACTTAATTTCATTTAAATTCGTCAAAAGATTTTCGAACGAAAAATTTTTGAAACGAAAAATGAGTACTTCTAGTCATACTGTTGAAGAAGCGGGTCCACATCACATGAGCGAATGACGTTTTAGCAAACAGCGACATTTGAGTGAATCGACGTTCTAGTAAATAACGGCGGTGCGTATTAATCTCCCCCCCCCCCCCGTACTGCGCTTGCGTCTCTTTGTGGCAACGGTCTGCAGCAGCTCATTACACAAATGTTAACCACTTGGGCCACCCGTAAAAGCCCCTTCGCAGCGGCCGATCGTTCGCTAAAGTGTCATTCAGTGAAACCTTGGACGTTCGCTAAAACATCATTTGATCAAGTGAGTGCCTCCCCCCTGGTCATACCTGTTGAAGTCATGAAACTCAAATTACTCCCATCTCGTCATGACGCTTAGGTGTAGCAGACATAACGGGCGGAGCTCGATGGCTTCCTTAGGTTTCCATAACACAAAGCATTTCCGAGTTTCCCAGAAAAATATAAAGACCAGTGCAGTTCAAAGAACCGTCAGCCTCGAAATTCTAAGCTTTTCTTATAAATTGGAAATCGTAAAATGTTTACTGGCGAGTGTTGTTGGATTTTATCGGATTTATCCGAAAACGCAGAAGGCCACATTGGCGATATTTACCTGGGACCATTTTTTCCTAGTTTGCACTTGGACCATTAGTTACTAGGACCATTTATTCTGGGACCATTTATTCCGGGATCATTTATTCTGGGACCATTTGTTCCGGGACCATTTGGTTTCCCCCTTCACCTACCGGAGAAGTGGGTAGCATAAAGGACAGATTTTGATGTGGGGAATAAGTAAAACAATGAAAAATAGAAGTTCCCCAGTCCTATCGTAAAGGACAATCGGCGAGTACTTTATTTCATACCTGCCAAGTCTCTTGTATTACCCGGGAGACTCCCAAATTTTGACCAATTTGTACGGTTGTATGATCGCAACAAATGGCTGAAATGATAGTGAGGCCCAGCCGTATCTTGCTAGCATGAGCAGTGCAATATAAATGTAATAAAGTTGTCTTTTTCTAAATTTGTTGTTAATATTTCTTTTTAAAAAAATCTCCCCCCCTCCCCCCCCTCCCCCCCGAATTCTCCCAGATTTTGCTTCTCCAAACTTGGCAGCTATGTTATTTTTGTATGTAGTGGCATTTCTTCAAAGGTAAGACAAGCCTGCGCTTGACACGTGGCCTCTCGGTAGCCAAACTGGCCTTGTCTAATGCTGCGAGGGTAAAAATAGCTGAACAGGCAGGGGTCTGTGTGACCTAATCAAGTCCACAACTGTGCTTCGTGTGTTTCTGTACAAAAATGGCTAAAGCTATTTATTAACTTGGCCACACACGGATTATAGAAAGTAAAAAAAGGCATTTTGTTGAGCCACCTTATAGTGCATATGTGCATTCAATATTTATAGGACTCCGAGTATTACATCACCTCATTTTGAAAAGAAAAAAGACAAATTACATTTTTTGAATGCTGCAGATTTGAGACCGTTGTGGAAGCACTCTCTGTATCATGACAACATGATATACCACAGGCATGGGACTGGCTTATCAGCTTTACCTAAAAGTGAAGTTGTGGAGGTGTCTGGGTTTGTCTAAGTATGCTTCAGTTATATGCAGTATGCTTATTCCGATCTACTATTGATACATTGTCGCACATTTTTCTTAATTTTGAGGTTTCCTGTCTTTCTAGCCACAGATAGGAGGTAATAATGTAGTTCAACGGTGCACAAGCCTATTGACCTCACTGAACACTTGTCTGTTTCTTGAATGATGACCCAGAGTACCTCTTGACCTAGGCACTGACTCGGTAAGGCAGTGCAGAAAACCGCAGGCCTTGCAAACAATAACACATGTTATAGGGAGCGCGCGACTCAGTTCTGCATCAATGCATAGTTCAGATTTGATGAAATACTGCTGGAACTGGGAAAATGCTTTGTAGATCACAAAAACAAAATTTTTTTATGCTATGTTCGGGATTCGTTTTTGTTCACAAAACTTTTTGCAGATCAACTTCGAGCTATGGAACAGGGGACAGTACAACCTTTTTAAGCAAGTGGACAAGAGTTGGTTCTCGCTGGTGGTGGACAGTCTGACTCTCCTGGGCACTCGGCGAAATGTGGGACATGCACTGTTATTGACGTGTCAGCAAACAAGGTTCTTCATCTGTAAATGATGCAGGTAAATTTCCCCTGCTATAAATATTCCAATGCTTCTGTTCCCATCAAATGAGAACTTTTTAGGTAAATGGTCAGCTAGAACGATAGGGACAAAACACAGACAGAGAGAAACAGAGACATACACACCGCTGACTATCAACTAAGACTTTAGATTTCTTCTTCATCCCTTCGAGAACTTTTTGCGATTAAGCAAAGACAACGTGTATCAGGCATGTGTTGTCTCATTCAACAGCTTTAGTTGACTTTGTTCCGGATACTTAACGTCTGGTGTGATAATGCAATGTACTCTTTGTCGCTTCAGTCCGAAGAAACAAAAGGCAGCTGGGCAATGGAGCTCGAGGGCCTGAAAAGGACTCTAGTGATTTTCGAAGTCAATGGATTTACTGTGGCAGAAGTCATCACTGATCGCCACTTCATGATCAGGTCGTTCCTTGCCAAGTTCTACCCTCACATTTGGCACATGTTTGATTGCTGGCACGTTTCAAAACGTAAGCCATAACTAATCAGGGTTTCAAGTGTTGTTGTACCGCAGAAAAGGCTACAAGAGTGAGCTCCTTGCTCTATGGCGATCGCTCGGCGGCACATTGTTTCATGCAGCAAAAGCAGATGCCAATGCCATGAACTTGCACTTCTAGTCTTCACTGCGATACAGTCAAACCCGTTTATAACGAACAGCAGCAAGCGCTACAATCAGTTCGATATAGCAATTAGTTCGATATAGCAAAAAAAGCATTTACAACGAATTTTCACGATGAGTTTGTTGTAAGGCGAGAGCTACTCTTTCTTTCTTATCTCTTGATTCCTTTTTGTAACAACGTGCTAAAAAGTTGTTTTTTTTTTTTGCATGCCGCGCATTTTTTTTTAACTTTATTTTCCTTTCTGAGTCGCTTCTCTTCGTGGTCAAATGCTTTGGGATGGAAATTTTTTCTTTCTGTGCGTGCGTGCAGAGTGTATTTTTTTGTTTAGCTTTTTCCCCTTCTAAGTCACTTCTCTTCGCTCAATTTTTTTCGCAACTTGAGCTTTTGGAATTTTCGGTCTTTCCTACTTCTTTTTTGGGGGACGGGACAGGCTAGAAGACGATGGTTTTCGCGTTTTGGAAGCCTTCCCGGGGGCGAAAAGTTTGATATAGCCAATATGTTGTTCGTAATAAAATATACTTTTTACATGCATTTTTGTTTAAATTTTTCGTGAGTTCGATATCATCAATAATTCGCTGTACGTGGGTTCGTTCTAAACGGGTTTCACTGTACAGCATAAGCTGAAACGTAGTCTAGTGTAAACACTGGGAGAGCATTAGTGTGCTGCAATCAGCGACAACAGCCAGTACAGTGTTCCTGTGTTCATATACTTTACTCCAAGTTGTGCGATGGTGCAGTACAGTGCTCCTGCGTTCATATACTTTGCTCCAAGTTGTGCAATTCTCCCAAATACTGCTCACAAGCAAAATAGTTTTTTTTTAAAATAAATTTGCATGCAAGTTTGAGCTTTTACCTGTGGCTTAAAGAATTAATGATATCAAGAGAACTATTCTTGTGTAAACTTTTTTTGCAGGAAGTAATAGACCTTCAAAAGTAAGCCGCTGATATTTGTTAAAAATGCTGTCAACGATTTAACTTCCGCGAGCTCAATATTTTGCTAGTCTCTCAAGGTGCTTGTTTGAGAGGCATTTCACAGGCACAAATTTTTGCAATTGGAACGTTATGCTATGTATCCGGTAAAGTTTATTCACAGGATCAATTGCTTGCAAATTGTTTTATAGTTGTGTGATATAGGCTCACACGGAAACCCGAGATTGACGTTATGGAGAATACAACACACATGAGAGGAGAGAAAAGAGACTGTTTTCCCTCCTCTTGTGTGTGTTGTCTTCTTAACCCATTAAGGCCCATGAAATATCTAGCCATCCAATTCAACTGTAATTTTGTACATATACGTATGTATAAGTACAGGAACATGTGAAAATTATCATGATAATTCATTTATTTTTTACAAACTTATGGCACCATACTTTATATAGTACAATGGGCTCTTATAGTGGCAATTCCAGTGCGAGTCACTTCTGCGCATGGAACTTCTTGAAGCAACCATGCTTCAGGCACAGAGTAAGATCGCACTTCTCGCAGGGTCACATCGACCTCTGGTGGCAAGACAGACAACGTAATTACTTTAGGTGCTTATATGGGAAGTGTTCATTTTCGTCCAGCACAACATCCAAGGCAACCGATGCTGGAGCCCTTCGCACTCGTAGGTTCTCCACACCTAGACGCACATAGTAGCGAGTAATAATCCTGGTGAATGCCAGATGATCTAGCCTTGAGTCTCCTGTGATCTGGTGAATTCTTCATGCATTTACCACCGCTACATTGAGCATTTTTTGCACAGCACCCACCATTTTCTTCTCCGGATACCAATCCAGCGGTTGTCCGCAGCTTCTTCTAAAAGGTCTACGCCTCCCATCCCACTGTTGTAGCTGCTGAACAGCCTTGGTTGCAGCACGCTCACTTTTTTTTGCTCTGCAGCCGACCACCATTTTACAGAGCACATTGGCTCAATATTGTCATACTTTGTTGCCATGATGAATACACTGTTATTTTTCCATTTTACAAAAAGTACTTCAGCATCTGGGTCGAAACACGAACGGAATTGGACTCTCTGCTTGCATTCCATTTCCTTTTTGGAGGCCGGGGAACAATTCTTGTGGCGATTTTCACGGATTGTTCCTGTAGCACGAAACCCCTGTCTGCAGCACAACTAGGAGGTCGTGACTAGTGAAAAAATTGTCGAAGAACAGAACATGGTCTTAGGGAGTTGCAACAGCCTCAAGTAGTGAAAGTACAACACGTGTTCCTAGCGGCCTCGTGTCTGTTGTGGAGTACTTTCGCCAGTAAATGTCAAATCCGTAGCAGTAACTTTCCGCACTGCACAGCATCCAATTCTTGTATTTAAAAGGAATTGGCTTCCCTCTAATGAACTGCTTGGAAGGGTGGTGACATAAGTACTTCACCATGAACTCATCAACAGAGATTGCCTCGTGAAAAATGCCATGTTGCCTGAATTTTTTCTTTACCAAGTTCATGAATTGACGCACCTTAAACATTTTACATGTTGTTCATGGAAGCAGGTCATTGTCGGATAAATTCAAGAACCGCTTTACGTCGAGGAACCACTGCCTGCTCATACATTTGGAGACGCTTGCGATCCCAACGTCTTCATCAAGCAACCAGTACAGCCGTTGGCTGGGAAGCTTCGGTATCCACTCAACAAGAGAATACCGATGAATTTTCTCAAATCGTCAAGGTTAAGAGCAAAGCCGTGCTCATTTTTTTGCTTGTCGTAGGTGCCAATTTGTATGACGATGTGAGTCAAGACTTCTTCATCCAGAATTGCTCTGAATATTTTGTTTGGAGACATGCCTAGGAAGTCAAACTTCAGAGTCTCTTCTTGCTGTTCAGCCCCATTTGTTGAAGATGACCATGTGTACTCCGGGCTGCTGCTCTCCCAACTTGGGTTTGTGCACTTTGCCCGCTTCGCACGCCATGGTTGGTTGTCGGCGTCCTTCTCATTCGCTTGGCAGTGCATTTCTAGTGTACCTAAAACAATCATACATACATTCAGCTTTTATGTCGAATGCTAACAAGACCCGCTCAATATTCATAAAATTTGAGTTTCTTACCTGAGACATCATTCACTTGAACGCTACTGGTGGCGTTATCATCTCCCTTTTCTTTGTTTGTGTCGAGTGACGGGTCAGGAGGTGTAATGATGACATCGACGTTTTCTTCGACATCTTGGACAACGTATAGAGCTGCTTCTAAGACTCGCTCCAGATGGGGCAATTTCGCCCAGCAACTTGACGTCGCAACTCCAGCAACACGGGCCGCCCGCGTTCACACGCAGCAACCGGATTGCTACGACTTGCCATCATCATCATAAAATTTGATTTTTTGTGCACTATTCAGACGCACAGATATGCGCTAAAAACGTGTTTTTATATCTTTGAATGGCGTTGAGAATACTAACTCATCTTTCTGAAAAGATTTATTTTTAAAAACAATCTTTTTCAAACCAGAACCAAGTCTTTAGCTGTCATCATCATCACCACGGGGGTGTCACGTGAAAATATTGCATCCTTGCTTGGCTGCTGCCAGTTCAAACGTCTCCGAGTTGTTCGAGTTGCTCGTCCGTTTCGAGCTAGACCTGATCTCAACAATTCGTGTCTATCTAGGGAAAACTAGGGAACGACCCGCCAGCAACCTCAAAATTGCTGGAAAAGTTGCCCCGTCTGAAGCGGGCCTAAAGCGTCGCTCAACAGTCAAAACATTTTTTTTTTTTTCCGAGGAAAACGTCGGGATTCATAACCGTTGCAGACTACAAGAAAACATGGACGAAAGCTTATTGTACTCTACGAAGTACACCTATCTTTTGTCAGTCATTATATGAAAATACAACACGGAACATGAAAACCAAAGTATGCAGCGTTGTATTTGCTCTATACTAAAACAATTTCATCAAAAATCGAAACAAAATCTGACCTAACACAGTCAGAATAATATGTGAACGGTTGGCTTACCAAAGCGCCTTCACAGTCCACGTGTTTCTCAACTCCCTATGGTGGACAGAGTGGTAATACTGGAACGCAGGCACCGACTACTTACGGTATTTAGATGTATAGACCCGACACCTGGGGTCAGAAAATGAAACGTAACAGAAAGAAAATACTGAATCTCTAATGCTAAAAAAAATTAAAACGTGTGTGTACTTTTTAAAGTACAATGGGCGGTAATGGGTTAAACTCAGTCATGGTGTTTTT